GGGGGGGGGGGGGGCTGTTCAGTGATTTGTAAACATACATGAGTATTTTGAACTGGATTTGAAGGTGAACCGGTAACCAGTGCAGGGAGGCCAAAACTGGTGTAATGTGCTCTCTTTTGCCTGTACTGGTTAAAAATGGGGCTGCTGCATTCTGGACCAGTTGTAGTCGTGCAATGGAGGTCTGACTGATACCAAACAGGAGTGAATTGCAGTAATCAAGCCTAGATGTAATGAATGCATGTATTACTGTCTCCAGGTTCTTTTTGGACAATATGGGCTTCAGTTTAGACAGCCGCCTCAGTTGGAAGAAACAGGATTTAATCATGTTTACATGATTGTTAAGTTTCAGGGAACAGTCCATTATCACGCCCAGATTAGTGACTCTTTGTTTTTCTGACAGGGTTAGAGCAGAGAGGTCGATGCAGTGGTTTGTGATTGTGTCGTTGGGAGGGAACGACATGACTTCAGACTTCTTTTCATTGAAACTTAAGAAATTTAAAGCCATCCAGTCCCTGATGTCAGCCAGGCAGTTGAGCAGAGGTTGAATAGAGCATGTACCATTGTGTCTTAGGGGGAAGTAAATTTGACAGTCATCGGCATAGAAGTGGAAGGGCGTGTTGTGTTTCCAGAAAATAGCACCAAGCAGCAGCAGGTATAAAGAGAATAGGAGGGGACCCAGGATGGACCCCTGTGGAACCCCCCCCCCTGAATTTAGTTCAGGGAGCTCTCCACTCTCGGTCATGTGACCTCACAGCTGCAGTGAGCGTGGGAAATGTTCCATTGGGCGTTTTGTGTTGGAAAAATTGAGTCTTTGTTTGCAAGTTATGTCGCCATGGTCATTTGAAACACTAATAAAAGTAATGGCTCACATTACAGTGCCGAGCCGGTACTTGTAACATTTGTGGGGTACATGTTGCAGTTCGGGCCCATTAACGTTGCCGGAAGAGTTAGATATAAAGTTAAGAAACCCTTGTCAGGTGGATAATAATAGGTGTCTGCCTTTACTAGGAAGTTCCCAATAATAATTGAACGTATGCAGAAGTAGTCTGATTGAAAATAAAAAGCTGAAAAAAAATAAAATTCCAACACAGTCTGGTTATATTTCAGCAGATCAAACTTTGATTTCAGAATCAGAATGAATCAGAATCAGAATGCCTTTATTGTCATTATACGCAAGTACAATGAAATTAAGAGCCACTCCTTTTTTCAGTGCAAAAACACGCCTTAAGAAAACACACACTAAAAATATAAAAAATGTAACGCAATATAGATATATTAGCACTATGAAAGTAAAAAATACAAGTATTTCACAATTATATTGCACATTATGGATGTTAGTGAGGTAGTTAAGGTGACAGAGTATGAAATGTCAGTAGTGTTGCACAAGGGGTTTGGGAGGTTAGATGATTAAATCAGTGCATGTGTGAGTTCAGTGTGGTGATGGCTTTCAGGAAAAAACTGTTCTTGAATCTGTTTGTTCTTGTTCTGATGCACCTGTAGCGCGAAGGTTTCACAGTAAATCCTGTAAAATCGTGCAAGCTCTTAGTTTTAATTGAATAAATCCGTTGTCAATGTTTGATTTGATTTGTCTACCTTCAGGGGTCTTCGAGCGACGGCTAAAATCACCTTCGAGACGATCCTGCAGGACAACCTGGTGAGCCGACACTTTGTCTGACTCTTTAGCACCCCCAGTGGTGAGCTGAGCTCATGCTGCTGTGTGTTCGGGCAGGGAGCCACGCTCACGCTTTGGTCCAGCTGTGGGCGGTCCAGAGGGGGTCTCTACGGAGAGTGGCAGGGGGTCATTTGCACCGGAGAGACCAACTCTCAGGTCCAGGTGGGGGGATACCACAAACACCAGATGCTGCTTTTTACTAGAGTGAGCTGAGGGCTTTAAAGTTTGACAGTGGTTACTTCAAACGCTGAAGGCTGGCTTCAAGACTGAGCGGTGGTCTGAATGCCAAGCTGGCAGTCGGAGGTGGGTCTGAATGCTGAGCCGGTGGTCTGAGCGTCGAGCCGGTGGTCTGAGCATCGAGCCGACGGTCTGAATGCTGAGCCGGTGGTCTGAGCGTCGAGCCGGTGGTCTGAGCGTCGAGCCGACGGTCTGAGCGTCGACTCATGAAGATGGAGATCTTTTCAGCTTCTTAGTAAACATTTCTATAATCTGCTTCAGCTACTATCTCCGTTTCTTTTCTTTCTAGATAGTTTTTAGCTTTTCCCAATTTTAGCTTTTAGCTATGGTTTCCCCATTTTAGCAATTATGTATGTTTTTTGTTGATTTTAGCTGCTGTTTCCCTTGAAGTTTACCAGCTCAATGTCAGCTCGTTTAACAACCTTCAGCTGTCAGTGTTGACACGAGCTGCAGTTTTTATCCGTTGTGGATTAATGTTTCTGTTCTGGGCACGATGTGGACTCTTAACGTTCTCCTCTGTGATGATCTCCAGAAGTACCTGCAGCAGCTGTGGGACACCATCCTCCTGGTGGTTCTGATCATCTGCACCGGAGTCCTGGTCCAGGCTCGTTGGCAGAACCAGGACCACCATCTCAACAACGACTTAGAGGTACTCTCCTTCTTCAGTTCTGCTCCGCTGAGAAGGTCAGAATGAGTTCCTCTACTTGTTTTTTTATCTTGAATAACATTTGAACAGATTCATTTGGTTTTCTTCAGACACATTTATGGTTGATTGGAATCAAACAGCCTTCTTTGGCTGATAGTAGCTGAAGCTAAAAAAAGTGAGGACAGTTTGTGCAGAACTGCAGTTCCTGACAGGAAGACATGTCTTTTTTTAAAACTTCTTTTTTTTCTTCTTTCCGCTTTTCCCTCTTCAGGTGTCTCCACAGCGAGTCCTCCATCTCACTCTGTCCTCTGTCCTCACTCCATCTACCTCCATGTCCTCTCTAACTGCATCCATATGTCTCCTCTTTGTCTTTTTCCTGCAGCTGCATTTCTAACATCCTTCTACCAATATACCCACTGTCCCTCCTCTGGACATGTCCAAACCACTGTCCCTCCTCTGGACATGTACAAACCACTGTCCCTCCTCTGGACATGTCCAAACCACTGCCCATCCTCTGGACATGTCCAAACCACTGCCCCTCCTCTGGACATGTCCAAACCACCGTCCCTCCTCTGGACATGTTCAAACCACTGCCCATCCTCTGGACATGTCCAAACCACTGTCCTTCCTCTGGACATGTCCAAACCACTGTCCCTCCTCTGGACATGTCCAAACCACCGTCCCTCCTCTGGACATGTCCAAACCACTGTCCCTCCTCTGGACATGTCCAAACCATCTCAGTGTGTCCTCTCTAACTTTATCTCCCAGTTGTTCAACCTGTGCTGTACCTCTGATGATCTCATTCCTGATCTTCTCCATCCTTGTCTCTCCTAAGAAGAACCTCAACATCTTCATTTCTGACACTTCCAGTTCTGTCTCCTGTCTTTTTGTCCATGTCTCTGTCTCTAGACCATACAACAGAGCTGGTCTCACCACTGTCTTGTAAACTTTTCCTTTGACATTTGCTGACACTCTTCTGTCACAAATCACTCCTGAAACTTTTCTCCATCACTCCATCCTGCCTGGACTCTCTTCTTTACCTCTTCACCACACTCCCCATGTTCCTGGACAGTGGACCCCAAGTCCTTGAAGTCCTGCACCTTTGTGACCTCTGCTCCTTGTAGCCTCACTGTTCCACCTCCTCCCTCTCATTCACACACATGGACTCTGTCTCACTACGGCTGACTTTCATTGAGATGAACAGTGTGAACAGAGTGGTGATGGATGTACAGTCCTGCCATACACTCCAGAGAGGGTGTCAAGAATAGATTGCCAGAAGGTCTGCAGCTTGGGACAGGTCCAGAATGTATGCAGGAGTGTAGCTGGAGTTTGTCTGCAATGATTGCATGCGGGGTCCAGATCGGCCTTGATCCTGGACAGCTTGTCTTTGGACCAGTGCAGCCTGTGCACCACCTTGATTGAATCACAGCATGTGTCAGACAGATTGCAGATGAATAAATGTTCTTAATGAGCCTTCACCAGATTGGGTCCGATATGAGTTCCTCCAAGTCCGCTTCCTATTTCAGTTTAAAGGAGTCCAAACTAGACTCATGGTACAAACTGAGCAGTGTATACATTTTGCTGAGGGCCTCCTTGGTATCAGACCTGCACTCTAAAATCTTAGCCACAAAAAGTTTAGAGGGGTACAAACAAAAAGAGTCAGAGCTCACAAAATGTCTCAGCTGCAAATATCTAAAAAACTGGACTTGTGCATATTAAACTTCTGTACCAGCTGTTCAAAAGAGGCAAATCTACCTTCAACATAGAGGTCACACAGTGAATGCACTCCCCTCAAGACCCAGGTGTCAACAGCTGTATCAGCTTCTGAGGGAGTGAACTGATGATTATTTGACACAGGTGCCAGAAACTGTAACTGTGTAGAGTTAAATGCCCTCCTGAACTGATTCCAGGTCTTAACTGCCCAGATCATAACTGGGTCAGAGGTATAAGTTGATGTTGACTGTTTAAAGGCAGCCGAGAGCAGAGGAATGCAGAGGGGGAGCTGGATTTAATTGAGGCCTTTTCCAGGGCTACCCAACTAGGAGATGAGGTGTCCTTACCCAACCAAAATAGAAGAGCTCCGATATTACCTGCCCAGTAATAGTGCATGAAGTTAGGAAGCGACATGCCTCCAAGTCTGCAGGGCAGATGTAAGACACTCTTGGCAATCCGTGGGTGCTTTTTATTCCAAATAAACGCTGATATCTGGCTGTTCAGATTGATGGAGAAGCATTTAGTGAGAAAGATTGGCAGATTCTGAAACAGGTATAAGAATGTAGGTAGAATATTCATTTTTACAGAGTTTATTCTGCCCCCCAGAGTGTGAGGCAGAGACTGCCATCTAACAGTGTCCTGTTTAAGGTTCGCCATGAGAGATAAATCAATAATTGGTCTTATAGAGGTTCCTATGGTCTCGAGTTACCCAGATCCCAAGGTATTTACATTATTTTAACTAATTTTAAAGGGAACGGTGTCCAAGATTTTCTTTTCTATAGAGGTCACGGGCATCAGCTCGCTCTTTTGAAGGTTAACCTTACAACCAGATAATCTTTAGAATTTTTGAAGTAAGTTAAGTAGTTCAGGGACACTTGTAAGAGGGTCTGATATATATAAAACCATGTTGTCTGCATATAAAAAGACTCTCGTACCCTGCTGCAGTTTAAAATATGTTACCGTTGGTGTGGACCGCTACTTTTTTGTAAATTTTTTGTATTTCCAGCTTGTTGGTTCAGTACTGCGGCGATACTAGTCTCAGAAACAGAATCCAGCCCAAAGGTAGCGAGAATACAGTTATAAAAATTAGATTTCCATCAGGAGCTCTCCGAGACGCAGCCTACATCATGGGCGCCATCTTGAGTCTCCGACAGGAAGACGTGCCAGACCAGATTCACCTTCATCAAAACGTCACGACTCTTACAGCTTCTGCTCTTCTGTTTGCTTCAGCTTTTTCCAAAGCAGGACGTCCTTCAGACCTTGTTGTCACTGAAAACCAAAAGGTACCGTCAGCCCAAACCCTGGCGTGACCCGTCCAACCCGATAGAGACAGATAACTGCGCCGTCTGTCTGGAGCCGTTCAACAACAACCAGGTGAGTCCCACAGCAGCAAATCCTTTTAAAGCTGTTCTAGGTCCGGGTCTCCTTTGACAAGACCTCCTCCTCTTCTAACAACGTGCTGTAAACGTCCAGGACCTGAGGAGACCAGCTGGAGGTTCTGGAGGACCCGAGGAGACCAGTTCTGGAGTGGATGTTGTCCAGTTGTGGTCTGATGGATGATTTGCTGGTTCTGTTCCATGAAACATCAAACTTTGTGGACTTTTTCATAACAAAATTCACATAATCTGGTCAGCCCTGACAAACTGCACCATTTCACAAGTCCCAGGATCCAAATCCTGAACCGCTTCATGTTTCCATCAGTCTCCGAGCAAGAGGTGACAGCTGTTAGGAAAGAAACGACATCCTGCTCTTGTGCCCTTCATCCTGTCCCCACTGCTCTGCTGAGAAGAAACGTCTCTTTCATCAGTCCATCAGTCCTTGTGTTCACCTTGTGTTCACCTTGTGTTAATCTTGTGTTAATCTTGTGCTAACCTTGTGTTCACCTTGTGTTAATCTTGTGTTCACCTTGTGTTCACCTTGTGTTAATCTTGTGTTAACCTTGTGTTCACCTTGTGTTAATCTTGTGTTAACCTTGTGCTAACCTTGTGTTAACCTTGTGTTCACCTTGTGTTAATCTTGTGTTCACCTTGTGTTCACCTTGTGTTAATCTTGTGTTAATCTTGTGTTCACCTTGTGTTAACCTTGTGTTCACC